GCCAGCCAGGGTGGCTACCTCAAAATCTTCATGGAGGAAGTGCCTGGAGGTACCTGCCCTGCTGGGATGGGAATGGAACTAGAGGTATGGGGTGTGAGGATGGAGCCAGGCAGGGGCGGAGAACCCTTGGGAAGAATGAACCTTGGTGTGTGTGGGTGGTGTAGCCTTGAATTAACTGATGCAGTGCAGTTGGGTGATGGAGTCTGGGTCATGGCATGGGTGTGCCTGGGCAGAGAGCTGTGGGCGGCAGAGATGACCTCAGACTACCCCTGCCCAGGCAGCTTGTCCTCCTTGCTGCGGTCAGTGTGGGGACCCCTGCAGGACAATGAAAGCACCATCAGTTTCTATACCCGCCAGATCCTGCAGGGACTCAGCTACCTGCATGACAACCGAATTGTGCATCGCGACATCAAGGTAAGCCCTGTAACTGGCCCATCCTGACTTGCTGGTAGGGGAGAAGGAGGAGATATGGCCCCAGACAAAGGCTGAGAGTTTAGAGTTAGTGGGAAGACCCTTTGCAAAGGATGAGGAATTCATCAAAAAGGTTCCCTAGAAGGGAGAAGTTCAGTTCTGAAGCCAAACATGCTGCCAACTCCCAGAGAGGTGTAATGGGATGGCAGGGGGAGGAGGTTGATAGAGGCAGAGTCAGGCTGAGATTCCCAGGAAATGGGATCCTGGGATAAGGTCCAATTTTCTCATTGGGAGCCTAGCCTCTGAGCATAGTGTCTACTCTACTCAGGGGGACAATGTGCTGATCAACACCTTTAGCGGGCTGCTTAAGATTTCTGACTTTGGCACCTCCAAGCGGCTGGCAGGCATCACACCTCGCACTGAGACCTTCACAGGTAACAGGGTGTGAGGTAGTGTATGGAGATCTTGACCTGAGGCAGAAGAACTTTGGGGGCCTTTCAGGGAATGGTACTTCTCCTGGGCATTGAGTTAGAGTCCTAATGGGGGCTAGAAACAGGACAGGTGATTGAGCCAGGGGTCAGGTGATGGCATCTAGAGCTTGGATAGTTGATGATGTTAAGTTTAGTAGCTGAAATGGAGCCTAGAAGTGCTGATGAGGGCCAGAGTAGATGATATAATCCTGGACATATGATGGAACCTACTGTGGGTGATGTAGTCCATGAAAGTGATAGAGCCTGAGTGAAGAAACAACGACCAGGGTAGGTGATGAGAACTGTTTTGGATGATAGAGTTCAGGTTAGGTGCAGAGAGCCAGAGGATGAGAGAGCCTCTGCCACCCCTGCATTGATAAAGCCTATATGAGCATTATTGCTACTGCTCCTATCCTAGGGACCCTACAGTATATGGCTCCAGAAATAATTGACCAGGGCCCAAGAGGATATGGGAAGGCGGCTGACATCTGGTCATTGGGCTGCACTGTAATCGAGATGGCCACAGGTCGCCCACCCTTCCACGAGCTAGGGAGCCCGCAGGCTGCCATGTTTCAGGTGAGACCCCTCAGGGCCTGGCTCATGAGGTGGAGTGGGGACAGACTGGGCCCTGAACACCTCTAAACTTGACCCTTGTTTACGCTCCTTACCCTCTCCCAGGTGGGCATGTACAAGGTGCATCCACCAATGCCCAGTTCTCTGTCAGCTGAGGCCCAAGCCTTCCTCCTACGAACTTTTGAGCCAGACCCCCACCTTCGAGCTAGTGCTCAAGCACTGCTGGGGCACCCCTTTCTGCAACCTGGGAAGAGGAGCCGAAGCCCTGGTTCCCCACGACATGCTCTGCAGCACTCAGGTACTTTGCAGATAGAGGGAGTGAGCACACTGAGGTGAAGGCAGAGGAGCTGCGGGGATGAGAGGGCTGAAGGGGGGCCCAAGCCGACAGTCTCGTCTTTCCCTCAGATGCTCCTTCAGCTAGCCCTACTCCTTCAGCTGACTCAACCACTCAGTCTCAGACATTCCCACGCCCTCAGGCACCCTCTCAGCATCCGCCCAGTCCCCCGAAGCGCTGCCTCAGTTATGGGGACACCAGCCAGCTCCGGTGAGAGCCCAGGGTCCTGGGGTGGGTTCACTTCATCTGGTTTCGTCCTTATACTCCCTTCAGAAAAAGCCCTCCTTGGAGATCTGGGCACCTTGACCACTTGCAAGAATGGCTTTTGGTGCCTACCTCCCAAATACTCTTACTTGCATTTAGAGTGCCCCCTCAGTGCTGGGCTTATCTTTTTATTCCTGTGAGGCAGGCATGAAAGCCAGGGATAGAGCCAGGCTGGGGAGAAGGTGGCTGGTTGGTATTGCTGCTCGCCCTCCATTGGCTGCTCCCTATTGCACCCAGGGTGCCTGAGGAGCCTGGGGCAGAGGAGCCCACATCCCCTGAGGAGAGCTCGAGGCTGAGCCTGCTACACCAAGAGAGCAAGCGTCGGGCCATGTTGGCGGGCGTACTGAAGCAGGAGCTGCCCACCCTGGCGGAAAATCTGTGCCTGGAGCAGGAACAGGTGGGCGGCCTGCCCCAGCGCCCCCTGGTGGTCGAGTATGGTCTGGACTCCTACTGGCCTCTTCCACAACCCTAGCCCGTAACCAGCATCTCTTGGCTCAGATGAGATATACCCGCTGACGACCCGTCTCTTCCTTCTCAGGGTTCCTGTCTGGGCAGGAATCATGTGGAACAGCTACTGCACTGCCTCGGAGTGCACATCCACACTCCCAATCGCAAGCAGCTGGCCAAGGAGCTGCGGGCCCTGCAAGGGCAGCTGCGGGCCCAGGGCCTTGGGCCTGCACTTCTGCATGAAGTACTCTTTGCATTCCCAGATGCGGTAAGGGGCTTTCTCATTGTTGGGGCTTGTGCTTGGGAATGTGCAAAGATTCGACATTGAAAGACTACATGTCTCTTCCGTGAAGATCGAGCTATCAGAGAAGGGACATCTGCCCGGTCCTAGCTTCCCAGACCCTCCCTTGATCTCCAGGCCCACTCACCCGCTTGCCAAAGGCAGAAGACTTTCTAGGCCTTCCCATCTCAAGCCCCACATCTATTTGAAGCTTAGCAGTTTCAGCGGCGTCCATCGTCCCTCTCCAGGTGAAGCAGATCCTCCGCAGGCGCCAGATCCGCCCACACTGGATGTTCGTACTGGACTCGCTGCTCAGCCGGGCAGTACGGGCAGCCCTGGCAGTGCTGGGTCCAGGTAGGCCAGGGAGTCAAGCTTGCCTGCGTGCGAGAGTGCGGCCCTTGGGGGCGTAGTGAACACAAATGAAACCGGCAAAGGGCGTGGTCTCCAGGCTAGGCCAGGGCGGGAAGGAGCTTGTTAGAAGGACGTAACCAAACCGACATCTCCCAGACTGACACTGACACTGCCTGGCCAGTGCGCAGAACCCACGCCCTCGGCTGGTATCTAGGGGGTTTCAAATGGGTGTTCTGGCTCTGTCTGAGCTCACTCCACGCAAATCGGTAGGCGTAGAGAAGGACATAGTCCCACCGAGGTCAGAGGAATTGAGTAAAGAGGAGTCCCAGCCACAGCAGCAGGAGAGCCCAGTCCAGCAGAGCCTGCTCCCAAGAGATCCTGAACAGGGCCCCCAACTTCTGATGGTGCAGTTGAGCCTCTTGCACACGGAGACTGAGAGGTAAGGCTCCTGGGATCCATCCATAGCCTTTGTGCCAGCTTCACCCCCAATCTCCCTCTATTCTACTTGCTTTCTGCCCTCTAACAGGCTTCGAGATGTCCTGGTTGAAAAAGAACGGGAGTGCCAGGCTCTGGTGCAACAAGCTCTACAGCGGGTGAATGAGGAGGCCAAGACCTGTGCCTTGGCCTCAGAACCCCCAGGTGAGCGGAACCTGGCTGGAGAACACTAATGGTGGTGTAAGACAGCGTCTGGTGGGAGGCACCCCCTGGATTCACCTGATTTCTCCTTGATAGGTGCTGGTGCAGTGGACCAGGGCCTGGTGCAGTGGCTACAGGAACTGAATGTGGATTCAGGCACCATTCAGACGGTGAGGGGAAAAGTGCTGGCTGAACCCCACCTTTTATCCTCTCATACAGAGAATCTTAATGTTGGATGACTACTTAGTATACCCCACAGAAAGGGGTGTGATCTGCCCTAGCATGTTGGTAGGAGAATAGAACTAGCCCCTGGGTCTCTGGATACATCTTTGATTTTCTGTTTCTGTTTCTGTGTGTGGGTCTGTCCACAAGAAGTTGCTGAGCCATAGCTTCACCCTCCATGCCCTATTGACCTGTGCCACTAGAGATGACCTCATCTATACCCGCATCAGGTATGTCCTGGGCCCTCCTCTGATGACCCATACATATAGCCTCATGGTGGCCATATCCTGATCTCCAGCTATAGGCCTGCCTAGGTTTCTCTGAAAACTACAGTGACACCAGGTTCCCTTGGGGATAGGCGGGACATCAGGCAGACAGTGGAGACCAGAGAGAGCTCAGCTTCTGGCTGAGCCACACTGAACCTGCTGTCCCCAGGAGAGGGATGGTATGCCGCATCTGGAGAGCCATCTTGGCACAGCGAGCAGGATCCACGGCCGCTCTCCCTGGCTCCTAGGAGGCTGAATGAGGGCATCAGAGGAAGGAGGCCAGATCCAAAGATGGATGAATGAAGAAGATACAGCAACTTCTGACACACCCATCCCAGGACCCAGGGGCCACTAAAGGAGGCCAGGTGGGCAGGATCCACGGTCGCTCCCCCTGGCCCCTAGGAGGCTGAATGAGGGCATCAGAGGAAGGAGGCCAGACCCAAAGAGGGATGAATGAAGAAGATACAGCAACTTCTGACACACCCATCCCAGGACTCAGGGGCCACTAAAGGAGGCCAGGTGGGTGGGGGCCCAGGCGAACCAACCACAGAGATGCCTCAAGCTCGCTGAGTACCTTCAGGCAAAGACTATTAAACAGAACACTTTTGTACTCTTGAGTCTTGGCAACTTCTGAAGTATGGGGGGAGGTATGTGGGACCAGCTCTTTAATGTCTTTATGTCTGAGTCTAAAGTGCCTTCACCTGGCCCCCTTCAGCTTCCCTGGTTCTTCCTTGCCATCACCCCATCCCCCCTACCCTAAGCAGACATCAGCCCCTTTTTGCCCTTAGAATAGACTTTATTGACTTCTGCCAAGGGCAGGCCCTGAGATGGGGATCCAGAGAGGGGTTTGGTTTGGTAAGGCTTGTCAGGCAGCTATGTCCTGGGGACCAGGTTGGTTCTGAGGGGCAGAAGGCCATCCACCCACTCGCACGGTCGCTCTAGGAGTGTCTGCCACAGGTGCTTCTCCTCAGGTGTAGAATCCATCCAGGGCACCTGGAGCCCATAGCTGCTGCCTGGGCAGGAGTGGAGGGCATGGTCATGTTGGACACCCCAGGTCCCAAGGAACACCTGCCTGGTCCCAGATTATGCAATGACACCTCCACTTCTCAGTGGACACCAAAGCTCACAAAAGGGGGCAGAGAAGTGTCCAAGGCCACACGTTGAGCCCCTGCCTCCCAGCATTGGTTCCCCCCAGGACCCTGCCCTGCTCACCGGTGCCCAAACTGAGCCGTGTGCCCCCCAGCTGGCGGCTGGCCAGGGCCCCATGGTCCCACAGGGAGAGCTCAGCACAGGCCTGGCGCAGGTCAGCAGGCCCGAAGCCATCATAAACCATGGTGTGGTTGAATACAGGGCTGAGGCTCTTTCGTACCACCCTTGTCCGTTGGCGGCTGGCCCGGCTGTCATCAGGCAGCACAAAACTGTGGAGGAGGTGGGCTGGTAACAAGGGGCCACCCCCTCACACTCCCCAGAACCAACCAGTAACTGACTCCTACCTGTACTCTCTCACAATGTCCACGTCCTCTGGCTCCTGCCTGAGGCCTGGCCCCAAACTCTCCTACCCTGAGACTTTTACATCCGCCTCCTTTCAGGTCTCCTGCCTTTAAAAGTTACAACTCCTATTTTCAGGACCCCAGAGTAATGTCTCTGAAAGGCAGTTCTGCTACTCCCCACTCAATGACCTTCTTCAGCTCCTTGTTGTCCCCCAGAAGTAGTTTCCAAACAATAAAAGCCTTGGAGCTCTTTCTGCAAGATATTGCTCAGAAGTACAAAACCTAAGAGAAAAACAATGTCTTTGGTTGAAGCAGAGCTGGGAACTCAGAACCTCATTGGACTACCTCCATTTCACTCTCCGAAGGTGTGACAGCACCTGGAGACACCAGGAGAGGCCCCCCAGCTTACTTTGAAAACCACTAAACTGCAAGCCCCACAGCCTGGCCTTCCAGGTCCTCCATGGAAGGGCCTCTGTGACCCCCCATGTCTCAGCCTCAGCTCTCTGAGTCCTATAGGTGCCACTCGGAAATGCAGCACCTCAAAGGTGTCCTCAATTCTGTCCACTCCAGGTCTTGGCTCAAGTTGTCTGTCCCCTTTACCCCTACTCAGTGGTCAAAATTCATACTGGGGAATCAAGTGTGGGTGTTTAGAAGGGGTTTGTCGGAGGTGGGAAGCTCCACTTCAGGCAAATGCCCCTCACCATTGTATGTAAGTATCCAGGGGTCCTGAACGAAGAGGCACGAGGTCCTGAGCTTCCTTCACCCAGAAGTGAATCTCCCCACTCGGGGGCAGTCCTGCGCCTGCGGAGAGGCTTGGCTTAGGCCCCGCCCAAAGACAGAGCCCTGTCCCCCCATACTTGTGGGATAGAAGTCCCCAGTCTCCTAGGGCCCGTCCAGCTCGGCCTCTTGCGGGCTGTCACTCACCCTCGGAGCCCGCGGGGACGTACTTGAGGGACAGAGAGAGCCGCCCGCGGCTGGGAAGGTCGTCTGGAGAGGGCGGGACCTGCGAGAGGAGAGCTCGTCAGGGGACTGGGGCAAAGCCAGAGGGAAGGGGACCACAAGGGGGTGGAGTCTCCAGACACCGATGGGGCATGGTTAGCGGGAAGTTGGGGTCTGTGGGGCTAGGCTTCAAGAGAAAGGCCCGGGGAATACGAGTGCCCCCACGAAACCAGCCATCGGGGGCCAGATCTTTGCACCTGGTTGTAGGATTGAGAGGCCGAGGGGAGGCTCTGCCGAAGGGGAGTCTGAGGGGGGCTGGGGGAAGGCCGGATGGGGTGAAGGAGGAAGAACTGTGTCGCGGGTCCCTCCACGCAGGCCAGCTGCCTCACCCGGGGCTGGAGGGGGAGCCAGATGGCCTCGGAGGTCCAGTCCCACGTATCCAGGGGCACTTCGACTTCTCCCAGAAAGATGTTGCGACCCAGGCTTTCGTGGTGCCACACAGACAGGCTCAGCACGCGGCCCCGGAGCTCGGCCTGCGGGACGGAGTACTGGGGACAGGAGGTGCACTTTAATGGAGCACCGCTGATGACCTCGGCTTCCGTGTTGCGGGAGTGTTGACTGGGGCTTGTCCTATCACACTCCTTGCAGGATGGAATCCTGGGGAGCCCCGAAGGGGATTATGGGGGTCTGGGCTAGCGCCGTGCCCATCGCTAGACTCCCTGTCATTCCTCCCGCAGAATATGGAGGACCAGAAAAACAGGAAAGACGATACTATGGCTGCCCTGCCACCCGGCTCCCAGAGGAAGGGACGTCGGTTTTATGAATGGCGGGCCGCCCGTCATTGCAGCCTCACCCGGAGAGTCTCGTTGAAGACCGGGTTCAGATTCCGTTTCTTCACTGCCGTCTTACGCTTGCTCTGCTTATCCGGGAAGAGGTAGCTTTTGACGTAGCTGGGGCGAGAGCGGGGGTGGGGAAAGACCAGAGATAAAGCGGGGGGACCCTTCCGGCGCCTCCTCCCCAGCCCTGGGGCTTCCCTAGCCACAGCCCGGAACACAGCTTCCCGTGCTGGGCCTCGTACAACGCTTGACAGGAGTCATCTCACTCAACCCACGCCTCCCAGGAACGCTGCGACTCGAGCATTTTGAAGATGAAACTGAGGCCAAGACAAGTGGTGGGGCTGGGCGGTGAAAGCTGCTCTCTGGAGATCCCGCCCGCCCGGGTGGGGCACTCACGGGTCCGAGCGGCGGCGCCGCGCCGCAGCCAGGTTCTGGCAC